AATGGTGCTAAAGCAGTGACCTGCAACTGGAGGAGATGGTGTCATGAAAATCTCCTAGCAGGGAGGGCCATCTGATGGAGCAGTTAAGACCCAGGTGGGGATAACTGCATTCCACCTGTGATTACCTGGGTTCAAGTGCTGGCTCGGCTTCCAGCCTCCTGTTAATGCACACCTTGGGAGGCAGCAGGTGATGGATCAAGCACTAGGTCCCTGTCACCCATGTGGGAGACCTGGACTGAATTTCTGTCTCCTGGCTTTGGCCTGGTTCAGTCCCAGCTGTTGCTGGCATTGAGCAAGTGAAGCAACAGATGGAAGATTTATCTCTCTGCCTTTCAAATAAAAATTTAAAAAATTCAAATCACCTAGACAACTTTTTCAAATGATAGTCCTTCTTCGCACTCTCTCAGCCTTTGAGAGTTCTTTTTACTTTTGTTTACCCCTCTTCCTCAATTAGGAGAGCATGGCTTCCCAGCTGGGAATCACTTCTGTGCTAAACCCCACACTTATCAACTAGCCTATGTCCTACACTTCTGGTGTACTGTGGAGGAGAGAGACAAATAAATCTGAAAGTTATTTGACTATATTCTAGCTTATAAACAAACTTGACCAATCAGTTGTGGCTATCTGAGACAGGGGTTGAGAAAGATTCTTAGATCCCTTCTGGCCTCAAAAGCAGAGTCAGCACAGGTATCTGGCCTCGTGAAGCAACTGGGTGCAACTCCTGGCTCTGGCTCATGACTCCAGCTTCCTACCAATGCAGAGCCTGAGAGGTAGGAAGGGTTCAAGTAATTGGGATCCTAACAATGTCGCAGACCAGGACTGAGTTCCCAACTCTGGCTTTAGCCCTTCCCCCTTGGCCACTAATGCATCTGGGCAATAAACCCAATGTTTATTGGATGTGTTTCCTCTCTCTGCCTCTCCAGTAAGTTTAAAAAATCAAAACCAAAAACTAGAGGGCAGTAATTGGCAATGTCTGCTAAGGCTGAGGTTGAGGTTGCAGTAATGTGGAACAGATCCTACCTTCTCTTCTCCTTGTCCTAGACAAGTTCAGTAAGTTCTTCCAAGTAGGCATCACAGCACAGGCTCCCTGACAGGTAACATTTTAATAGACGTAAAGACTAGGAGGTGGTGGTGACACTGCTGCTTGATTAGGCCCTGTCAGTGAGTGGCATGATCTTGGGCAAACCACTGAATTCCACAGCCCAGTTTGCTCATCTTAACACAAGAGACTTCACAAGCAAAATCACATTTAAGATCTCTACCAAAAGGTCCAATGTTTTTCTTTTTCTGCTTAGTTTCTAAACCATAAGGGTTGAGTGTTTTAATTCTTACAGATAAAGTCTCATCAACTCATGAAAATCATAGCAATCAATGAGGACACATTTCTAATTTTAGTAAATGTAGGTCTGTTTAAATGTGTAGGGTGTGTACTGCATTCTGTAGAGATGAGAATGACAGACGTTGACCTAGCTTGACATTTTAAGAAATTCTGTCCCCTCATTTGACCTAAATGTATATAAAGATGATTTTAATAGATTTATCTATAATGGAGACAACTCAAATATTAAATAGAGAAGTGATTCAGTTACATAAAGTATCATATCTTGCTGATAGGACACTATATAACTATTTGATACTATGTATAACTTTAAATGGGAAATAAGAAACATACACAAGGTTTAATCACTCAGTTACGAAAACTATACAGTTAGTCTCAATAACCTGGGTTATGTATTCATAGATTGAATTGTAGAACAAAACTATTTGGAAAAAAAACACTGTTTTTGTACTGAAAAACTACAGGTTTTTTTTCTTGTCATTATTCCATAAATAACCTACATAGGTATTACAAGTAATGTGGAGATGTTATATAGTACATGGGAAGCTATATGTAGGCTCTATGTGAGATTACACCATTTCCTATAAGGAACATGAGTATCCTCAGATTTTGGTCCAAAGTGGGTCCTGGAACCAATACTCTGTGGTTACTAAGGGACAATGGTCTATGTGTGTGCTTAAACAGAAAAAAGGACTAACACGTTAATAGTTGTTGTTCCTCAATTGTGATTAACTTAACATTTCTATGGCCCAACTGAAAACTCAAGTGAAAGAGCTGTGGGGACTTTTTTGTAAACAGAACCACATGTACCCTTGCATCAGCTTTCAGTTTTCAATACTACAAAGGATACACAAAACAATTAATTTGTTTATGGTCCCCAGAACATAAACTAGTGTCTTGTAGTCTACAAAGTTTCTACCATAACTATGTAATGCTTCCGCCAGAAGACTTGTTTAAAAACTCAAACTCAGTAGCACCACAACTTAGTAGTTTTTTTGTCTGTTCTACTTAATATGACTGGTTTAATTCTGTAATTAATACACAGTTATTCTTAAGTGTTGAAATTTAACTGAAATGTGATCCCTGTTAAACATAAGAGTAGGAATAAGAGAGGGAAGAGATGTACAATTTGGGACATGCTCAAGCTGACTTGCCCCAAATGGTAGAGTTAGAAACATACCAGGGGACTCCAATTTAATCCCATCAAGGTGGCATGTACCAATGCCATCTCACCAGTCCAAGTGATCAATTTCAGTTCACAATTGATCATAATGAAAGGACTAAGAGTCAAAGGAAGCACATAAACAAGTCTAGTACCTGCTACTACTAACTGACAGAATAAAGGGGAGAGTGATCCAACATGGGAAGCGAGATACTCAGCAGACTCATAGAATGGTGGGTGTCCTAAATAGCACTCTGGCCTCAGAATCAGCCCTGAAGGCATTCGGATCTGGCTGAAAAGCCCATGAAAGTATTTCAGGCATGGAAAGCCAAGACACTCTGGCAAAAAGATCTCTGTGAGTGAGATCCCAATGGAAAGAACAGGTCTTCAAAGAAGGAGGTACCTTTCTCTGAAGGGAGGAGAGAACCTCCACTTTGACTATGACCTTGTCTAAACAAGGTAAGAGTCGGAGAACTCAGAGGGCTTCCATAGCCTTAGAAACTCATGACTGGAGCATAGGGAGATTACTGATGCCATAGACAGGAGTGTCAATTGGTAAAGTCAACAACAGGAGTCACTGTGCACTTACTCCTCATGTAGGATCTCTGTCCTTAATGTGCTGTGTATTGAGATTTAATGCTATAATGAGTACTCAAAAAATATATTTCACTTTGTGTTTCTATGGGGGTGCAAACTGTTGAAATCTTTACTTAATGCATACTAAACTGATCTTCTGAAAAAAAAAAAAATTATCAATTCCCAACTAGACGCTCACTGGGATTAAACATGACAATAGGTCTGATCTGATTTCATCATCATTAAAAAAAAATTCATCTATTATTTTTCACTTTATGTTTCTGTGTGGGAGCAAACTGTTGAAATCCTTACTTAATGTATACTAAGCTGATCTTCTGTATATTAAGATAATCGAAAATGAATCTTGATGTGAATGGAAGGGGAGAGGGAGTGGGAGGGGGGAGGGTTGTGGGTGGGAGGGACGGTATGGGGGGGGGGAAGCCATTGTAATCCATAGGTCGTACTTTGGAAATTTATATTCATTAAATAAAAGTTAAAAAAAAAAAAGAAATAAGCCACACACACACACACACACACACACACACACAAAAACCTCAAACTCAGGAAAATTCTTCCCTATTTCTTTCATTGCAGAATTTTTAGGCAACATTAGTCAGAAGGCAAATGGGGGATTGTTTTGTTGCAAACTTGTAGTATTAATAAAGAAAATAAGTAGTCTCGCAAAAGATGTTTTTTTCTAAGAAGATGTGTAAAGTTACCCCAGGAGCACTTTCAGGAGCTCAAGCTAAGGTGACTATGTAAGGTCTAAAATGCAACACTGGCCGGCGCCGCGGCTCACTTGGCTAATCCTCCGCCTGCAGTGCTGGCACCCCGGGTTCTGGTGCTGTTTGGGGCGCCGGATTCTGTCCCAGTTGCTCCTCTTCCAGTCCAGCTCTCTGCTGTGGCCCAGGAAGGCAGTGGAGGATGGCCTAAGTCCTTGGGCCCTGCACCCTCATGGGAGACCAGGAAGAAGCACCTGGCTCCTGGCTTCGGATTGGCGCAGCGCGCTGGCTGTAGCGACCATTTTGGGGGGTAAACCGACATAAGGAAGACCTTTCTCTCTGTATCTCTCTCTCACTGTCTAACTCTGTCAAAAAAAAATTAATAAAATGTAATACTGACAGAAATCTGACCAGCACTTTCCAAGGTGTACAACTTAAGTGTGGAGGCCTAAGCTGTGATGGTATCCACAGTAAATACATCCAGAGGATGACAGTTGAACAAAAGTTTAGTTGAGTCATCAGGAGAAGCTATACAATGGGAAAACTCTAGCAGTGCAGACAGGAGAGAGAGAAATCAGAGATGAGAAATGAGGCAGGCCGGCCAGATTGTAGGTGTTCTTAGGGCTAATGTCAGAACAGCCAAGACAGGAGGATGGCTGCTGTCGAACTGAGGGGTTGTGGGTGAGAGGTGGTGTGGGGAGGGGAGAGACAACGGTGAGGACTACTCAGGACTGAGATGAGCTGTGCTACCAAAGCCGCCTTTCCAGGCTCTTCTTTCAGAGTCATCTCTGAAGCATGCGGCTCGCGGTGGTCCCAGAAGGTGGTCCTGTGAGAGGCCGTGGTGTACTCAGTTCTTCTGTACATGCGGGGAAGGGACAGTATTCCTCCCCACGCCCTTTATTAATGAAGACACAGGTTAGAGAAGCTAGTACGGGGATGTTAAACTAGCCCAGGTGTGACTTCAAGTCAGTGGACACGCGTCCCCCTCCTGCGAGCTAGTCATTAACCCTTTAAGACAGGTCGCAGTCAGAGCAGGCCAGAACATTTTCTACTGCTGCCACATCACAATTCTAATAGAAACTTACAAATATCAAAAGGATGCTTTGTATCTTATGAAGCTACACAAATAAACAACAATCCCTAATTCCAAAGAATATGTAGTGATACTAATTGACAAAAAAAAAAAAAAAATAGAACTCTCAACAGGATAACTGCTTAGTCTTTATTTATTAAGTAGTTGATGTATACAGTGTCGAAAAAATATAACTTACCAAGGCATATATCAAGATCACAAATTGTAGTTCAAGCCACCTCCAAAGAAAATAGCAACTTTTAATTATTGAGTAAAATCAGCATACTTTTCTGCTATTTCGTATGTTCGCATTTGGACTACAAAGAGGTCCACGAGCCTTTAGGACACTTTAACCCCTTCTCTACACTAACGACAGAGGCAGCAACTGTCCACATGGCTTCCCCTTCCCTGAATCTTCTCATTCCCAGAGGAAACGTCAGACCTCCCAGGACATTCTTCTTCTATGAAGACATCACCTAACTACCAATTCACAGAGCGGGCTCAACAGAAATTGAGACAGGTGACATAAACAGCAAATTCTATTTAGTGAAATTCAAGAATCTCTTAGGTGAATCACTAAAACTCTCTTGCACTGCACATTTGTCCTTATTTTATTCATAATTCTAATATATTTCCTCTCTTGTTTCTATTTTTCAGCAATTAAGAAAAAACAAATTAGATGTGAAAAAGTATTAGAGATAAATAGCTACAAAGCTACAGCTATCAAGAGGAAAAAAAAAAAAGGGAAGAAAGCTGCCAAGTGCAGACACCTTAAAAACAGTCATGTGAAATACAAGGGTCCTTTATGTGGAATTAAAATATGCTTATTTGGTGCAAAGATTGAAATCTCAGGCTGGCATTGAGGTGCACAGGGTTCAGCTGTTGCATGTTACACTGGCATCCCATAATGGAGCCCTGGATCAACAGATGGCTGCTCCACTTCAGATTCAGTTGTCTACTAATGCACTTGGGAAGGCACTGGAAGATGACACAGTGGGTGGGCCTCTGCCACTCACACGAGATCCTTATTGAATTCTGGGCTCCTGGCTTTGGCTTGGGCTCAGCCCCAGCCATTGCAGCCAATTGGAGAGTGAACTATTAGTAGACTAAGCTTCCGCCTGTAGCACTAGCATCCCATATGGGTGCCCATTAGTGTCCCAGCTGCTCTTCTTCCAATTCGGCTCTCTGCTGATGGTCTGGGAAAGCAATGGAAGATGGCCCAAGTGCATGGGCCCCTAAACCCATGTGGGAGACTTGGTTGAAGCTCCTGGATCTTGGCTTCAGATCAGCTCAGCTATGCCCATCAAGGTCATTTGAGGAGTGAATCAGCAGAGGGAAGACTTTTCTCTGTTTCTCCCTCCCTCCATCTGTGACTCTACCTCTTAGATAAATAAATAAATTTTTTCTCTTTTTAAAAATTTAAGAAAGAGAAAAGCTGATAGATCTCTGACCTTAATAGAACCAGGATGGAATCACTGTGTGATTCTTTGAATATGATTCCAACTATCAAAGTCACATTATATGCAGAACAATTTAAGCTTATAAAGTATCTACCTTATTTTAGAAATATTTTTGTTCAAAATTAATGTAAAAAGTATTAATGTTAAAAAGATAGGGCTTTTGTTAGTGGAAAGATTTCTTCACAAGTCGAGTTTCATTCTTTAAGAACAGAGTAAATCACTTTTACAAAAGAAACATACATATGGAAACACCAATAAATTTAATTATTTATGTCAAATAAAAAGGAAATGTGAATCTATGATTGAAATGAAATTAATTACAAGTGTATCTATACAGGAAATACAATCTATAGTTTCAAGAGCTTAACACAAATCAGCTACTGTCACAAAACAGTATTTAAAGAAACCAAAAATAATTCTGCTTAACATTGGGGTGGGGAAGGAAGAAAAGCATAAGGAGGGAGTGCTAAACCAAGAAAACGAATAAGGCAGGTAAACAGGAAACCCCAAATATATTTTTACAAACAGGGATTCAGACCTGTCTAGGAATGGGACCTATGAGGTAAAATAAAGTGACTGAAATCAGTATCAATAAAAGTGACTACTAAAGTTCCAGAGCCTTGAACTGTTTAACCTGGACATTATCTAGTTCCTCAGATTTGCTTGTTACTACAGTGTTCATCCTTCTCCATTAGAATGAAATTTGGGACAAATACATGCCCAGTCCTAGAGAGTGCTTCAGAGCTCAACCAGCTTGGAAGGTCAAGGTCAGAAGCATATTATTTTGCTCACATAATATATTTGTTGAAATGGAAAAATAATATGTCAAAGAAGGAATTCAAGTAAACTGTATTTTTAAAGGATCAGTAGAATCTCAAACTTCAAATAAGTAGACTTTAAATTTTTGATTACCTTCAGAAGACTCTCAGTATGGTAAACTCAGGGATATTCTATTACTGTAGTGAGCAAAGTGTCCTCTGTGGCTGGCCAATCTCATAGCGTGTGCTTCCCCACACCTTTAATATCACACCAACATACAATTTCTAAGAAAGCCTTATTAAAAAAATTCTGCCTCTTAAAAATATCTATCAGAATTACCTGATCTGTTCTTACTGATTCACAGATGGGAACAGTTAGACCAGAGACATCACCCCATTCTCAGCTGATGTCCTGCCCACAGCTTAAGGCCCTCACTATTTTGGTGCTGGCAATTACGTCCTTCCCACTCTTGTCCCTATACTTCACATTAAGGCCTTTTGTGTGACCTGGAAAAAAAAATCTGTGCTTAGTCAAGCAATCTCCAACTCTGTCCGCAGACCAATCTAAAACTATTAAACAAATTTTTGCAAAGGAAGAAATTTAGAAGTTCAAAAAACATTATTATAGCAATACTTAGTAAGATCCATCAGAAAAAAGACACTTCTAAATATATTGACATTTGATTGACAATTTGCTAAACTGATGAGACCTTCTAAGAAATACTGATATTAAAATGTTAGAGAAAATGCTCTTAAGTACATATATGCATATAGTAAAGTTACAAACTGAGAGATAATAAGAATATGTGCACAATAAAAATGAGTGCCATGAGCCCAATGTTGATTTTCATCAGCAATAAACAGCATTAAGATTGAAGTCATGATTTCCTCATGAACACAAAAGATAAAAATAATGGATCAAAATGAAGGGACAGAAACTCAAGAGAATTATAAGAAACTAAATAAAACACAACGTAAGAAGAACAGTTCTGGCTAGTGCACATTCAGATCCGATCCTCTTCTCAATACAATAAATTAAGAGTAAACTATTTAACAATATTCCTGGTTTACTAAAGGATGGAAAGTATTTTTGCTGGTGGCAAGTGTGAAATTTTTTCACTAAAGAGTATTACGAGGATGAAACAGTAACACTACCACTTGTATATTTAACCAGACCTCTGATACCTTTTCACTATTCCTGGCTGATAATATGAATAACAGATGTGATGAATCAAAAATCATGTGCCAGTTTTAAAAAGAAAAATCCATTTAAGCAACATTAGCATCTACAAGGTAAATAGAGTGAATCCCTAATCTGTTTAATTCAAGGAAGAAAAAATTTTAATGACATTACCTATTTGTAAAAATGTGACTGATCAATGGTTGGGTTCTCACAAACTATGCAAGTTCACTTTCCAATGCTCACAAGGTGTAATATTCAGCTGTCAAGAGGAAGCAACTCAAAGGCCATCACACAGCCTATAAACCAGCTTGATGGGGCCATCCAGACCTTGCCCTGCCGAATCCTTTCTGGGTGATAATGAGGGGAGAAATCCTCATAGATGATATACTGTGTGCAAAAGCGCTGATCAGAATCAGGTTGGGCATGGTATGCAACTGTGTTGATAGTTTGAGTCACATCACTGTCTGGCTTGGGTCTCCTACTGAGAACCTGCCCCCCTGCTGCAGTGACAAGCTTAATAAGATTGTCCTTTGGAAGGTGTTTGAAGGTTCCTCCAAAATAGAAGTAGCATCCATCAAACAGTTTTGGCAACTGAAATCAGAAAAAAAAAATTTAAAGTGGATTAAAATATCCCAAAACACTGCCAATGAATAAAGGAAACAAAAACAATAGTTATGAGCAGTTAAGAAGCTACTTAATGACTAATGAGCAAAGCTGTATTTTGGACAAAGAAAAATACTCAAAGGGTCTCTAGTCACAATTTTTTTCCTTATTTCTAATTTTTTGAAATCATCTTCGTTCCATTTTAGTCTCCTAAAATTGTAGGTATCCTTTGCATTAAAAGGATTAAAACTGTTAATCAAACTTCAATTATCAGGAATTTCTAGAATCTCTGAAATACAATTGAAGAATACCAGGTTAAACTTCATTAAATCACAAAAGTAACATCTTTTCCACAAGCCTTTGGTTGCTTCTGGCCATCCACATTCACCCAACCTAAGGTCTTTGTGGCAGCCACTGGGGGTGGGGGGAAGGTGTACTAATGGTTCCAGAGATATATGCATTGGGGCACAACAGATTAGGAAGCTATGGGTAAGGATACAACTGGCTATGAAACACACTTCAGTGTACTACTTAATGAGAAAATAAAATTTCCTAACTTCCTTCTGTGAATTTTTTGTTATTTCTGATACAGACACATCAACACAATAATTGAATATTATCCATTAAAACTGCAATGTGGCAATAAAGACATATGCTAACTAAATCTGAGCAATGTTGTAAAACTTCTTTCAAGCTACTTCCTGTATCTGGGATATACCTCAGTTCCTGAAAGGTTTATGAGAATGCTCAAGATGCCAAAAATCCATTAGCAGTATGAAATGATTGCCTTTTGGATTTTACTGCTCACTGCAACCTCTCAGGACCAAGTGCTTGAAATAAGCACAATTAAAATTTTAATCAGTCCCACATACTTGTAGAAAGGGCAGAAGATTTTCCTGATGATGATAACAACATTAAGTCATAATAACTACAATGAAAACTATGTCAAAAGAAAAATACCAGTTGTTCTCGGTTGAGCCTGCTTCTTTGTGGTCCATCAGGAACTTCATATTTTTCTTCCCGTTCACAAGTTTTACTTTGTAGACATGCTTTTACCCCTGGCCAAAAAAAAAGACACACACACACAAAAAGGGATACAAGCAAAGTTTAGTATCAAATGATCATTATTTCTCTTTCATTGAAATTAGGCAATTTACCTAAGAGGTTTTTCTCTTTCATGGCTGCTGTAAGTTTTATTCTGAAACAGAAACAGGAACCTTACTTATGGCAAAACAAACTATAATAAAATTGGTCTTCCATTCAAAGAACATATAAGAAATCTTTCTGGGAATTAAGTAAATGGAGTTAGTCCTGAACATTAACTAATTTTAATCTCCTGAAAAATCTAAATCAATACACTTTGAAATGCAAGAATAAAAGTCTACATTTTTACTTATAGCAATTACACCAATAAAGGTGAATATACAGTCTATCATTCAGTCCACTCTACAATAACCTGAACTGCATATTTATCACCTGCACTGTTCATTTTGACAAGTCAGGTCTGAACTCCTAGAAATGATCTGACATTAAGGAAAGTGCTTTAGTGCACAGCCAGCCACATAACAGGGGCTCAACAGTATTCATTATTAAGTCTACAGATGATTTAGTTTGGCTTCAAAGGAAAAAGGAACATTCTTCTGCTAGTTTGGATAAGTGTGTTAACAGTTTTGGTTTAAAAAGCAAGAGTAGGGGTGGGCGCTGTGGTGTAACAGGTAAAGCCACACCTGCAGCACCGGCATCCTATATGGGACCAGTTTGAGTCCCGGCAGCTCAACTTCCGATCCAGCTCTCTGCTATTGCCTGGGAAAGCAGTGGCTCCTGGCTTCGGATCGGGATAGCTCCAGCTGTTGCAGCCAATTGGGGAGTGAACCAGTGGTTGGAAGATCTCTCTCTCTCTCTCTCTGCCTCTCCTCTCAATGTGTAACTCTGACTTTCAAATAAATAAATAAATAAATATTTAAAAATGATAATAAAAAAAAAGCAAAAGTGACAGAGATAGCTCAGCCTGATACCATTTTAAAGTCATTCCATTAACTGGTTCCTGATCAGGGAAGCTCTATGAACAGCCATTAGCTAGCAGCCAGCACCAACTGCCTGGTTAAGCTCTAGAAATCATATGAGCCCTCAGGAATGCCCAGGACCAATCAAGGGTAGGGTGACAGTCAATTTAACCAAGAGGCCTCATCCTGAGATACTGACTGTCATCATCACTGATAAGACTTGGTGGCTCCCAAGTACTTGCTTTGAACTAATTAAAGTTTTAAGCTTCAATTTCCTTGCTTACTGAAAGAAAAAAGGAAAATAACAATACCACCTGAGTCACAAGGACTTCTGCAGATAAAATGCCAAGAAATGTTCTAGAAAATGGATATTATGATCAATTATTTCCAATCTAATAACACTGAGATTATGTTGCTCAAAAATGTCAGTTTAATCACTGAGAAAACTCCATGAGAGTAGGAACCATACATTATTCATTTACATATTCTTCAGCATCTAGCATACTTTCCCAAGGAACAGAAGCTTAATAGCAAAGGTTATTGGCAAAGTTGTAATAATAACTAGTGTCTTCATTGTCTATACAAAGGAAAAAGTTTTTATAAAATTCACTGAACTCCTAAGTATTTAAGAATTCCATGCAGGGAATGCATGGTAAGCCTAGTGGTCAAGGTGCTCACACTGCATATTGGGGTACCTGGTTTCAATTCCTGGTTCTGGCTCCTGCTTCCAGCTTCAAGTAATTGGGTTCCTACCACCCAGATGACACCTGGAATGAGCTTCCTGCTCCTGACTTCAACCCCAGCACAAACATAGCTTTGGTGGGCATTTGAGGAGTAAAGCAATGAACAGGATGTCTCCCTCTTATCTTTGTCTCTTGCCTCTCAAATAAGTAAAGATTAACCAAAGAACAGAATTCTGTCCATACAAATAAACAACTACACAGCAGCTGTAAGACTTCAGAGTTAAAAATCCAAAGCAATGAACAGGATGTCTCCCTCTTATCTTTGTCTCTTGCCTCTCAAATAAGTAAAGATTAACCAAAGAACAGAATTCTGTCCATACAAATAAACAACTACACAGCAGCTGTAAGACTTCAGAGTTAAAAATCCAAAGCAATGAACAGGATGTCTCCCTCTTATCTTTGTCTCTTGCCTCTCAAATAAGTAAAGATTAACCAAAGAACAGAATTCTGTCCATACAAATAAACAACTACACAGCAGCTGTAAGACTTCAGAGTTAAAAATCCAAATTCACAACTATCTTAATGTAGTTTTGAATATCCAAATGTTACATCCTGCACCACTTGATATCCAATGCCTTAAAACTGAAGCAGAACAAATTTATGGCTGTATAAACATCTGCTTTCAACTGAGAATTAGACTATATGCTGGAAATATACTAACTTAATAGTATTTTGGAGAACTCTTGAAAAATACCAGTGATAAAATTTTTCCCAGCCTTTCCCTACTTAATTCAGCACTGGAATCACACAAACACAGAAAAATCACTAGTCTGTAAACTACGCATATGCCTGTACAAGGGCTCCTATATAAACTGAACCAACAGGCAATCTCCTTCAAGTACCAGAATAAGAACTGATCTGACAGAAACTGATTCACTGTCTATGAGTAAGAAAGGGCCTCCTGACCAGTAATTATGATAGAGAGGAAAAGCTGATTCTAGGTAAGACAAAAAAAGTCTTTGTCTTCCTCAGGGTACCAGTCCACTTTAGAAGCAGAACTTGAGATAACCATTCTGAAAGTTTCTTCTCTATTATACCAAAGTGACAACATAATAAAGCTTCATCTCATGCTACATGATATATGAGTCCATCTGCAGAATCTGGAAACGCTGCTATCTTTTGAAGAAAAAATCGTGTTTAAGCTCTATTTATTAAATGCATTTTATTTATTCCAACAATCCCACAATACTTAATTTGAAAATGTACAGAATGATATAATTTAGTAGAAAAGACTAAATATCTAGTTGAAATCTTTTGTTTAATAGATCCAGAAAGTCAAGTGCAAAAACATGAGGTGAGCTTCTAAGATCACAGATAATAATGGCAAAGTTGATGCTCTCCACTCCCTAAGACAACAGTGTCCCACCTCTGTTCTCGCTGTATCCTAGTTATTGAGACATGCTAGGTACAACAGGAATTTTAGTCTCTATTAATCAAAAGGGAGGGCCCACTAATTTTTTGTATTCCTAAACCTTCAGTAAAAGTATCTGAATGCTTATTTTGTTTTTTAAAAACAAGGCTACGATTAATTTTAAATGAAATTTTATTCTTTATTTCCTACCAATTAAAACCCATTATCAAATTTTATTTTTCTAGCATATTCGCACTTATGTTTAAAGATATTAAGGACATCATTGAGACAGTTTCAAGTCTCAACATATGATGGCAAAAGAAACTTCCTACTTTTGTACAGAGAGTGAAAGAACTTGATAGATTTGAATTTCTGTTACAGAGTCAATTAGGGAACAAAAGTCAAGGGTTACAGTTAAACATGAGTAAGTTCATAGTTTTCAGATTCAGCTTTTCTGGTTCTTCCAATTTAAAAATGGCTAACTTCTTGAAGAATAACAGCTATGGGAGCAGACTGGGTTTGTTGAAGATAATAAAAAAATATTTTATACTTAACATTTCTTTCAAATATGTTAAAAGCAAAATCCATTTTTTTGAATAAAAGTGTTTCAATGCAAAGTTGTTTCTGGAAACTATATAATTTTTAAAAATATTGTATCATAAATTTAAAAGAGCTAGCAATTAAATATTCTGGAGGCATTAGTGATTTAAATGTATTACAGTAGTGAGACTCAAAAATACTAGTAAGACATGAAATAGAGTTTTAGTTCTTTATATTTCTGATATTGAGCAAATATAAAAAGAAACTATTAAGTATTAAAAGAAAAGAGTAGGGCCGGCACCGTGGCTCAATAGGCTAATCCTCTGCCTGCGGTGCCAGCACACCGGGTTCTAGTCCTGGTTGGGGCGCCAGATTCTGTCCCGGTTGCCCTTCTTCCAGGCCAGCTCTCTGCTGTGGCCCGGGAGTGCAGTGGAGGATGGCCCAAGTGCTTGGGCCCTGCACCCGCATGGGAGACCAGGAGAAGCACCTGGCTCCTGGCTTCGGATCAGCACAGTGCACCACCCGCAGCAGCCATTGGAGAGTGAACCAACGGTAAAGGAAGACCTTTCTCTCTGTCTCTCTCTCTCACTGTCCACCCTGCCTGCCTGCCTGCCAAAAAAAAAAAAAAAAAAAAAAACCAAAAAACAAACAAAACAAAACAAAACAAAACAGTAGAATATCACTAGGAAAATATGGAGCATCAAGATGTTGTTTTATTGTTATTTCACTGGGCACAAATGAGTAGAATGTAACATTTTACTTAGCTGTGTATAAATTCATTCTTCAAATAGTTTTAAGTTCTTTTAAAAAAAAAAGATTTTTTTTATTTATTTGAAAGGCAGTTACAGGGAGGAAGAGACAAAGGGAGAGACCTTCTGTCTGCTGGTTCACTCCCCAGATGGCCTGGGCTAGGCCAGGCTGAAGCCAGGAGCCTGGAACACCATCCAGGTCCCCCATATAGGTGACAGGGGCCCAAGCACTTGGCCATATTCTGTTTCCCTTTAAGACCTTTAAGCAAAACTCGGGGTCAACACTGTGGCACGGCAGGTAAGGCAGCCACTTGCGACACTGGCATCCACTTCCAATCCAGTTCCCTGCCAATACACCTGGGAAAACAGCAGAAGGTGGCCCAGGTACTTGGGTTCCTATACTTACATCAGAGACCTGTAAGAAGTTTCTGGTTTTGGTCTGGCCCAGCCTACCCCCAGCCTTTGCTGCCATCTGCAAAGTAAACCAGAGGATGGAAGATCTCTGTCTCTTCCTCTTTCTCTATAACTATGCATCTCAAAATCTTCAAAAGACAAAACTCATTTCTCATATTTTCGGTAGTGAAGAACAGAGCAGTTGTAAATATGTGAAACGTTTATACCCTGAGCAGAATGTATCATAATGTGATTATGTATACCCTGTGTAGTGCTCTG